GCTTTGTTTATTCACTTTTTTCGCTTAAAAGTAAACCATTTCTCTATGCTGGTAAAATGAACAAGTCAAGTCCAAGTGAAAGCAGGATTATATTTATTGCAGTAAATCAAAATAATGCATCATTTTATTCTCTATCAACAGTCAAAACCAAAGTAAAATCCTTAACAACTTCAACAAATACATTTCTGCAATTACTAACTAACTCAACTCAACCAACTCCAACTCACTCCAAAACTCCTCAAAAACCCCAAAACTAACCCAGCTAGAAAAGTTCCCAGCTTATATACCCTTCTGTTTGCGCAGCTTGGGTGGTGTGCAAAAGTAGACTGTTGCGCGACCTCTTATTGCGCGACCTCTCCAGTTTTGCACACAACTCATTGCGCGACCTGAATGTTGCGCGACCTTTTAAAATGCTGACAATGCCTTAACAATGTTCAAAATGGCCTGCAACTGGTTCAGGTATACAGACTGTTGTACAATACAAACATTAGTACAAAAATACATAATAGTTATATAATTTTACATGTTTGAACACTCAATAGGATAATAATTATCTGTCCAATAATGCATCTTAATAGTGCAAAATATACTTGCAGTAATAAAGATATATGTACTATATATGGCTTATAAGACCAATACACTTACTACTGATTGACATTTCTATAAACTTATAATACTGACTGATAATTCATTAAACAACAGAAATATAATCTCTCCAGCTTTACAACATACAGCTCAACATTTGAACCAAGTAACCTGTACATAGATAAAGCTGTGAGTAAGGAATCCCATTCATAAAATCTGATATGACCAAATTATGCTTTGTTAACAACAATTAAGATGCTGAAGGGCTAAAAATAACTTAAACCTAGTACTTTTAGTCTGCGCGACCTCTTATTGCGCGACCTCTCCATATTTGGAACTAGCATGCCTGGGAAAGCTGATTCTGCGCGACCTTTCCTATTGCGCGACCTTAAGTGTCGCGCGACCTTTGTCTGCGCGACCTTTCCAAATTTGGAATGAGGTATGCTCATAATCTAAAAATAACAGAGCTGTGCCAATATTCTGGACTGTTAATGACTCAATTGTTTTACAACAAAAATGAGTAAAAGTTAACATAAACATTTTAACCAGCTTAGAAATATTGTCCAGATTTACCATCCTAAAAGAATACTCTTCTAGTAAAAGATTAGTTTCAAATTTCATAACAATATTTTAAAATTTTTTGTCAACAACCCAACATTTTTACCAGTGGGGACACGCGGTAATGTATATCCCATAACGCCCCAGTTGAAATTTTACAAGATTTCAGGATGTGGTTGGGAGTCAATTCAATGCTGATTTCCACACAATTTTCGGGGGTTTTTTTCTTTAAAAAAGGCTTAAGTTGATGTCCACCTCTCAGAAGGGTCAGCCTACATACTATCAAAATCCCATATGGGGGTCATGACCCTCAACCTCCCAACTTCCCACCTCTGGATCCAGGCATGGCTTTACCTATTTGTAAGTATACTAAAATATAGAGCTAAGACAGGGAACTTAATATTGTGCCAACTTGGTAATCTAAATATAGAACAAGAGCTGTCTGTAGGACAGCACGCTCGACTATTCTAAGTGCTTGATAGTAAAAGAGCCTTGATAATGTTAAATTTTTTAAGTTCACAAAAGGGCTAATTTTTTTTTATAAATTCATGTTATAGGCCTTAGAGAGAGTCTAATTATACAGTATTGACTTGACTATTCGGAAGGTAATGTCACAAGGGTGTTTTATTGAGTATAATAATACTAACTAGAACTATCACTAAATGTGATTAATACCCCCACAAGTCTGCTTCGGAAATGAGGATGTTACTAGTAACAGAATACCTTGTAATAGAATTAAAACATAGAGTTATGGTTGTGGGCAATTAAAGATAATTGTTGTTCATGTATGTTGCATTTCCTTTCAATGTGGTTGGCCATTGATGAAGTTTAATTGAATTACTCTGTAATAAGTCCAGAAAGACAAAGAAAAAGAACAAAGGGCAATAACTCTATAAATACTGAAGATAGAGTTATAGTTCTTGTGCACTGCACTTCCTCTTATTGTGCTTGACCATTGTATGAAGTTGTTTTGAATTCCAACCAGTACGTTTTAAGTTATGCTCCGGACAAGGAAAAGTATCAAAGGGCAGTAACTCTGTATTTTGTCAAAATGGAGTTATGGCTCTTGTGCACTGCACTTCCTTTTAATGTCCTTGACAACTGTATGAAGTTGTACTGAATTCCAAACAGTAGTTTTCAAGTTATGCTCTGGACAAGGAAAAGTAACAAAGGGCAATAACTCTGTAATTAGTCAAGATGGAGTTATGGTTCTTGTGCACTGCACTTCCCCTTATTGTGCTTGACCATTGTATGAAGTTGTTTTGAATTCCAACCAGTAGTTTTCAAGTCATGCTCTGGACAAGGAAAAGTAACAAAGGGCAGTAACTCTGTAATTAGTCAAGGTGGAGTTATGGTTCTTATGCACTGCACTTCCTCTCAATGTGCTTGACCATTGTATGAAGTTATAATGAATTCCAACAATAAGTCTTCAAGTTATGGTCCGGACAAAAGAAAGCAATGGAAAAGTAACAAAGGGCAATAACTCTGTAATTAGTCAAGATGGAGTTATGGTTCTTGTGCACTGCACTTCCCCTTATTGTGCTTGGCCATTGTATGAAGTTGTTTTGAATTCCAACCAGTAGTTTTAAAGTCATGCTCTGAACAAGGAAAAGAAACAAAGGGCAGTAACTCTGTAATAAGTCAAAATGGAGTTATGGTTCTTGTGCACTGCACTTCCTCTCAATGTGCTGGACCATTGTATGAAGTTATAATGAATTGCAACAATTAGTCTTCAAGTTATGGTCCGGACAAAAGAAAGCAATGGAAAAGTAATAAAGGGCAATAACTCTGTAATTACTTTAGATAGAGTTATGGTTCTTATGCACTGCACTTCCTCTCAATGTGCTTGACCATTGTATGTAGTTATATTGAATTCCAACCATAAGTCTTCAAGTTATGGTCGGGACAAAAAAAAGAAGGCAATGGAAAAGCAACAAAGGGCAATAACTCTGTAATTACTTTAGATAGAGTTATGGTTCTTGTGCACTGCACTTCCCCTTATTGTGTTTGACAATTGTATGAAGTTGTTTTGAATTCCAACCAGTAGTTTTAAAGTTATGCCACGGACAAGGAAAAGTAACAAAGGGCAATAACTCTGTAATTAGTCAAGATAGAGTTATGTTTCTTACGCACTGCACATCCTCATAATGTGCTTGACCATTGTATGTAGTTATATTGAATTCCAACCATTAGTCTTCAAGTTATACTCCGGACAAGGAAAATGCAACGGACAAAAAAAAAGCAATGGAAAAGCAACAAAGGGCAATAACTCTGTAATTACTTTAGATAGAGTTATGGTTCTTGTGCACTGCACTTCCCCTTATTGTGTTTGACAATTGTATGAAGTTGTTTTGAATTCCAACCAGTAGTTTTCAAGTTATGCCCCGGACAAGGAAAAGTAACAAAGGGCAATAACTCTGTAATTAGTCAAGATAGAGTTATGGTTCTTGTGCACTGCACTTCCTCTCAATGTGCTTGACCATTGTATGTAGTTATATTGAATTCCAACCATTAGTTTTCAAGTTATGCTCCGGACAAGGAAAATGCAACGGACGTCTGGACCGACCGACCGACCGACCGCCCGACCGACCAACCGACCGACCGACCGACCGACCACCGGGTGACTCCTATATACCCCCCCAAACTTCGTTTTTGGGGGTATAATTAGTAATTACCTATGAATACATAAATTTGACAGAAAAGGTACAAAGGCTTTTTATTAAGATGTTTTATCAAGTAAATCACTGCTTTATTATTATGAATGCATAAAATTGTCCCAAAAAGGCACAAACCCTTCAGTAGTTATTGAGATAACAGCTTACAAGCAAAACTTTACCATGAATTTCTAAGTTGAAAAAGGGGAGAAAAATCAGCCTAAATGCAAGATAGAATTATGGATCTTTGTCATTCTACAATTATGACCCTAAATGCATATGTGAAGTTTTAAATAAATATCTTTAATAGTTATTGAGATATGTAAAACTTGCATGTAAACATTAACCAAGAGACTAAGTAGAAAAGGGGATATGAATCAGCCTCCAATTATGACCCTAAGTGCATGTGTAAAGTTTCAAGTAAATATCTTTTAAGACCTTTAACCAAAATTTCTAAGTTTCAAAGGGGCAAATAATTCTGCAAATATTGCAGGCAGAGTTATGCAATTTTGCAAACTGATGTACATTGTTACTATAAAAAAGTATTTTAAATTTCAATTGAATATCTCAAGCAATAATTCAGATATATTTGACTTAACAAAAACACTTTAACCAAAATTTCTAAGTTCCAAAGGGGCATAATTCTGTCAATATTGTAGGCAGAGTTATCCAACTTGTCAATCTGATGTACCTTGTTACTATAAATAAGTATTGTAAGTTTCAATTGAATATCTCAAGCAATAATTGAGATATTTGAATTTACAAAAAACTTAAACCAAAATTTCTAAGTTAAAAAGGGGCATAATCCTGTCAATATTGTAGGCAGAGTTATCCAACTTGTCAATCTGATGTACCTTGTTACTATAAATAGGTATTGTAAGTTTCAATTGAATATATCAAGCAATAATTGAGATATTTGACTTTACAAAAAACTTTAACCAAAATTTCTAAGTTAAAAAGGGGCATAATTCTGTCAATATTGTAGGCAGAGTTATCCATCTTGTCAATCTGATGTACCTTGTTACTATAAATAAGTATTGTAAGTTTCAATTGAATATCTCAAGTAATAATTGAGATATTTGACTTTACAAAAAACTTTAACCAACGCAGACGCCGACGCGGACGCGGACGCCGACGCCGGGGCGACTACAATAGCTCTCATATTCTTCGAATAGTCGAGCTAAAAACACAAAAACAACTTACATGTGTTCTTGAACCCAGTCGCGGACACAATCATCATTCTGATTTTGTGTTGCTGGAATCTGCCTCATAGGATCATTGCAACACTGCTTGTATTGTTTTGCTAGTGTTAAACAGCAATAATCTGCACATAGCTCAGCCTTATGGTAATCACCATTTCCATCAGTGTAACTTCCACAGCAGTCACCTGCTTCTGATCCGTGACCTGTTATTTAATATAAATTCCTCAATTATAAATAAGAAAGGCATTATTTAAACTAAGAAATTTCATAATATTATCCAACTGTCAACATACTACACAACCTAAAACAAGATATGTTTGTAAAACATGTATGCCCCCTATCAGCAGCCAATTAGTCATGTGATAAGGTTATAATGCATGACTTCTGACCCAGTGATCAAACAATTAATAAGGGTTATCAAGTATCTACTGGTCATGACCTTAACCTTTGACCCCTTGACCCAAAACTCAATAGGGGTCATCTGCTGGTCACGACCAATCATCATATAAAGTTTGAAGTTCCTAGGCCTAAGCGTTTTTAGTTAATTGATCAGAAACCGTTTTTACCTACAAGGTCAATGTGACCTTGACCTTTGACCCCTTGACCCCAAAATCAATAGGTCATCTGCTGGTCATGACCAATCACCATACCAAGTTTGAAGTTCCTAGGCCTAAGGGTTCTTAAGTTATTGATCGGAAACTGTTTTAACATACAAGGTCAATGTGACCTTGACCTTTGACCCCAAAATCAATAGGGGTCATCTGCTGCTCATGACCAATCACCATGCCAAGTTTGAAGTTCCTAGGCCGAAGCGTTCTTTAGTTATTGATCAGAAACCGTTTTTACTTACAATGTCAATGTGACCTTGACCTTTGACCCCTTGATCCCAAAATCAATAGGGGTAATCTGCTGGTCATGACAAATCACCATACCAAGTTTGAAGTTCCTAGGCCTAAGCGTTCTTAAGTTATTGATCAGAAACCGTTTTTACTTACAAGGTCAATGTGACCTTGACCTTTGACCCCTTGACCCAAAACTCAATAGGGGTCATCTGCTGGTCACGACCAATCATCATACAAAGTTTGAAGTTCCTAGGCCTAAGCGTTTTTAGTTAATTGATCGGAAACCGTTTTTACCTACAAGGTCAATGTGACCTTGACCTTTGACCCCTTAACCCCAAAATCAATAGGGGTCATCTGCTGGTCATAACCAATCACCATACCAAGTTTGAAGTTCCTAGGCCTAAGGGTTCTTTTGTTATTGATCAGAAACCGTTTTTACCCAAGAGGTCAATGTGACCTTGACCTTTGACCCCTTGACCCCAAAATCAATAGGGGTTATCTACTGATCATGACCAATCACCATACCAAGTTTGAAGTTCCTAGGCCTTAAAGTTCTTTAGTTATTGATCGGAAACCGTTTTTGCTTACAAGGTCAATGTGACCTTGACCTTTGACCCCTTGACCCCAAAATCAATAGGGGTCATCTACTGATCATGACCAATCACCATACCAAGTTTGAAGTTCCTAGGCCTAAGAGTTCTTTAGTTATTGATCGGAAACCGTTTTTGCTTACAAGGTCAATGTGACCTTGACCTTTGACCCCTTGACCCCAAAATCAATAGGGGTCATCTACTGGTCATGACCAATCACCATACCAAGTTTGAAGTTCCTAGGCCTTAAAGTTCTTTAGTTATTGATCGGAAACCGTTTTTGCTTACAAGGTCAATGTGACCTTGACCTTTGACCCCTTGATCCCAAAATCAATAGGGGTCATCTACTGATCATGACCAATCACCATACCAAGTTTGAAGTTCCTAGGCCTTAAGGTTCTTTAGTTATTGATCGGAAACCGTTTTTGCTTACAAGGTCAATGTGACCTTGACCTTTGACCCCTTGACCCCAAAATCAATAGGGGTCATCTACTGGTCATGACCAATCACCATACCAAGTTTGAAGTTCCTAGGCCTAAGGGTTCTTTAGTTATCACTCGGAAACCATTTGGTCTACGGACCGACGGACCGACAGACCGACGGACCGACAAGTGCAAAGCAATATACCCCCTTTTCTTCGAAATGGGGGCATAATCATGAGTAGGTTTTTATGGCTTTAGTGTTTTCTGGACATGTATTTTTCTAAATAGGGACTCATGTCTGATAGGAATAATTATGGCAAGTAATTAATTAAAGTTACACCAATGTATTGACAGTTCTTACTATTCTTAGAGGACATTTTTATCTGTCACTAGCCTAGTTGATGTCAACATTTTTATTTGCGTTGTGTTTGCTTGGAATTCATTTTTCTGATTTGACCCACCCAATCTCAAATTAACTATATCATGTATATACAAGCAAGTTTTTTTGAAACATTTTCCTATGTTCAGATAAAAAAGATATCTTAATAAATTAAGTTACAAACAGTAAAGAAATACAACCAGAATTAAGTACACTGTTTGCTGCATATTAAAGTTGCTGTTCTGAGTATTTATTTGATTAAATTATAAAATTTTCCAAATTCATAAAGGGCCATAGTTCAGTCAAAATCCATGACAGAGTATAATGGCCTAAATTTATGACCCTGCAGATATGAGTAAGTTTGCTGTGAATACCTTTTAATTAGTTGTTTTAATATTGCACGAAAAACTTTAACCAAAAACATTTCATGGGTGCAAGTTAAAAATTCTGAAAAACCTGAACTATTTGTTTGTTCTTTTCTCTCTCTTTTTCTTAATTATATAAACAAAAACATTTCAACACAAAAAGAAATGTGCATTCATATATTGTTTCCACTATTTAATATTGTGGTTCCAACAGTAAAGAGTGATAAAACAAACCAATATATAAATAAATTTTCAAAATTGAGTTGATTTGTACCGAGTTTACGTTTTAATTAGGGCTGAGCTGACCCTGATTCCATACAAACAATAAATTGTTTTCAAAAAAGATAATTAAAACAAGCCTGGTTATGTTTCACAGTAAGTTTGTTTTTCATATGATTTGGATCGTCTGCGTGCATTTAATTCTTTTTCCCGCTGGATCCATACTTGATGGATTTTCTACATATGCATACAGTGCAGAAAGCTACGCCGGGAACGTCTGGCTTTTCCAGCCAGTTAAACAGTTTCCGTAGTTATCCCCGTTTCGATCACATACAGACAACCATTCCCATCTTCATTTATTTTTTGAGGTCTTCTCGATATCTTTTGTATTAAATCCTTCGTGTAGAAACTTCTTTTTGACTTACAAATTGTACAATTACTTTCTGTTTACATATTACTCTGTAGCCGAATCGGTAACGAAGCCGCTTTTTCATTTGATGATTATAATTAGCGCGCCAATCTAAATTGTTGTAATAAATTCACGGATAAAATTGCATGCTGGGATTAATAATACATGTTTTCGTAAACATCTCGTATATCTTCGGAAACTATCGGCAGTTTCCGCGAAAGTTTACTATTGACGCTTCGAGAACAACCGTGAGCATCCGTATGTTATATAGCGTTCTCGATTATGAACTTCTAATCGGTGGTACTTCTCAGTTCGAAAGAGTAGACCCGCACCATACCTCTCCAAATATCTCAACGGATTTACGTGATTTGCAAAAAGGATCTCTCCGACACATGAAAAACCGGAACTTCCGGCACATGCCGGAAAACTTGCACCCATGCATTTAAAGTTTAGAAAGGACCATAATTCAGTCAAAATCCATGTAAGAACTATGTACCTTGGACAGTAACCTCTGGTTATGACCCCAAAGACATGCATTAAATTCAAGGGAATTATCTTCAGTACTTTTATTATTAACTTTTTCAGATTGATGTTGCATGCAAAACCTTAACCAATAATTTTCTTTGTTCAAAAAGGGCCATTATTCTGAAGAAAAAAAAACCTCATACTAGAGTTACGGGCCTTGGACCTCCAAGTATTATGCACTTAAATGAGTGTATGAAGTTACAAGCAACTATCATTAAGAAGTGGTTGATATGAAGATGCATGCATCATTTATCAGTGTTATGTAGTCCAAATAATTAGCCGCGAAAAAGTTATTTAACATTTTATAGTTATCATTGTGACATTTTACATTTTATATTATCAAGGGTAACATGGTAAATGAAAGATGTATATAGTAATATTTCTCTATAAGCATAATGCACAAATAATCAAGGGCCATAACTCTGTCTTGAAGAGTCTGACTCAAACAAGGCAATGATTTGTGCATCTCCCCATGGTATTGATTGTTCATATAAAGTTTCATTGAATTTCAGCCAGTACTTGCAGAAAAAATAGAGTGAAACAATTGTTGCTCTATATGCATACTGCATAATCAAGGGCCATAACTCTGTGTTGAAGGGTCTGACCAGAACAAGGCAGTGATATGCACATCTCCTCCTGATATTGATGGTTCCCATAAAGTTTTGTTGAATTTCAGGCAGTAGTTTCAAGGAAACAGTGCAGAAACAATTATTGCCCTATATGCACACTGCATAACTAATCAAGGGCCATAACTCTGTCTTGAAGGGTCTTAATTGAACAAGGCAACAATAGAAACATTTCCTCTTGGTATTGATGGTTCCCACAATGTATCTTTGTCAGTAGTTGCAGAAAAATAGCACGGAAAAGATTATTGCTGATGCTCTACAAGCATACTGCATAACTAATCAAGGGCCATAAATCTGTCTTGAAGCGTGTGACCTGAACAAGGCAATGATATGCATATCACTTCTTGGTACCAATGGTTCCCATAAAGTTTTGTTGAATTCCAGATGGCAGTTGCAGAAAGATAGCGTGGAAATAATTATTGCTCTACATGCATACTGCATAACTAATCAAGAGCCATAACTGTCTTGAAGGGTCTGACAAGAACAAAGGATCGTTGCCCATCCCCTTTTAATATTGATAGTTCAAATTAAGTTTCTCTGAATTCCAGCCAATAGTTTCAGAGAAATGACGCAGAAATGATTATTGCTCTATATGCAAATAATGCATACTGTGTAACAAATCAAGGGCCACTACTCTAAGTTAAAGGTTCTGACCTCAACAAGGCAATGATATGCGCATTTCCTTTTCCATTAAGTTTCGTAGAATTCCAGCCAGTAGTTGCAGAAATATAGTGCAGAAACGATTATTGCTCTATATGCATATAGCGTAACTAACCAAGGGCCATAACTGTGTTGAAGGGTGTGAACGGAACAAAGCCAATTTCCTCTTGGTAATGAAGGTTCCCATAAAGTTTCATTGAATTTCAGCCAGGAGTTTCAGAGAAGAAGCGCTGAAACAATTATTGCCCTATATGCACACTACATAAATTATCAAGGGCCATAACTTTGTGTTGAAGGGTTTGACCGGAACAAGGAAGCATAACTCTTTCAATAATAATTTGATTGCTTTAAAAAATTCGAACTTGACCTATGTTTTGATAAACACAATCAATGATTCTAAGATAGATCTATCTTTAAAATACTTCAGTTATCAAATGATGGGCTAAACCGATAATACCACCTGTTAAAATGGGGTTTTTCAGTTATCAAATGATGGGCTAAACCGATAATACCACCTGTTAAAATGGGGTTTTTCAGTTATCAAATGATGGGCTAAACCGATAATACCACCTGTTAAAATGGGGTTTTTCAGTTATCAAATGATGGGCTAAACCGATAATACCACCTGTTAAAATGGGGTTTTTCAGTTATCAAATGATGGGCTAAACCGATAATACCACCTGTTAAAATGGGGTTTAACACTTTAAATAATATTAAATTGGTAGCAGTGAAAATCAAACTTGACCTGCGTAGGCGTTCAGCCAATAATTGACAAATTATCATTAAATACCCTCCCCTTGTTGAAAAAAATCAATGGGAGATTATTTTTGATAATTTGACAATGCACAATTATAAAATCAAGATAATTTTATGATAATTATTGGCAAGAACGCCTGTAGATATAACATAATTACATGCCGATATTACATTCCAAAATATCAACACAATCGCTGAAATCCTTCAAAAAATAAATTGTCTACGGACAGACGGACACTATCAAATACCAAAGCGTGTAAAAAAACAACAACAAAGAAAATACCGCGCATAGATTTATACTTTAATTTTATGATAGGTTTAATTATATAGGTTTAACAGTTTAATAGAGTTGAGATGTACCGTAAGCAAAAAACAGAAAACACAAAGGAGTCGACAAAATAGTCCTCAAACTTTGAGCAAACTTTAAATTAATTTAGCTTATAGATCTACATTAAAAAAGGATATTTACAAACATGAAAAAAGTAGAAAAAGATTACCTGCCAACACAACCAAAATTACGGCGAATGTACAAAGAGTCCACATTTTGCTAAGAGTAAGACACGACTTTAGTATGTTGAGCTAACCTCCTGGAAAACAGAGAATTACTGTACGTTACAGAGCGTGTCTGGGGTATGACAAGGGAAAATACATATAATAACTTCAAGTTTGTAACATCTAAACTTCTCAAAGAATTATGAGAAACATAGGCTTTTTTTACTGAACTTATCAGTGCTATTCTTATTATCTCATTTAGAACTGTTTAATTATAAAATAAAATTTCTAAGTTACCGTTTCCCTTTATAGCGCCTCCAGATTTTCAGAAAATCGCAATTAAAGGGCGCATATAATAAGGGCGCCAGGTAATTCAAGGGAGGCAACTTACGTAAAAAAGAATGGCCTTTCGTGATAAGTTAGTTTTCTTATCTAGATCTCTTTGTGTAAAAAGGGGAAATTCACGTTACATTAAAATTATTTAATAAGTCCTCGAACTTTAGCTCTGTTTTCGTACAGCCATGCAGGAAGAACCTTGAACATCGCAGATTGGACTGTACAGTAGACTGATAATGTTTTATAAGATATACCATAATCTAGTTGCAATTAATCTCCCAACATATGTTAATTCAAACCCCACATAGATTAACCAGACATATGCACACCTTATCCCTACGCCAAATACAGGTATCTTCCGACTATCATAGGTAGTCTTTCTTCCCTCATAGCATTATACTATGGTAACATTGCCACCCTGCCCAACTTGAGTCAGTTCAAACAGGCAGTGGTGGGTTTGCAGTATTAGTCTTACTCCCAGTGTTTTTAAACTATTTTATTTCTTATCATCTTGTTTCACTATTAACTTTTTAACCATGACTAGAATACATCTTCAGTCTCACCTTCCAAGCATGTCAATGTTTGGACTTTTCTTGTGTTTTTTTAGCTTTTCTTTTCACCTTTTACTAACAATCCGACGTGCACTAAACTCCTGCCTTTAACACTCTAAGAGGGGTTGGCAGTATATTACCGACGCCAGACATGGAGTTTAACCCTTCAAAATGCCAAGTAATCCATAACCATTTATTAAACACAATTTATACATGCTCCATGGCCAAGTCCAAGAGTCTGTTACAAATGCTAAATATCTCGGACTAGATCTGTCTGCTGACCTTAAATTTAATACACATATATCTCTAATAACTTCCAATGTAAACAGATCCCTTGGCTTTATTAAAAGAAATGTTGTTACTAAAAATGAGAAAGTGACAGAACTAGCATACAAGTCCGGCCACAGGTTGAATATGCTTCAATTACTGACATCCAGAGACGTGCAATAAGATGGGTTAAAAGGGATTAGGCTACTCTCCTCACTCTAGTGTCACAGTCATGCAGGAAGAACTGGGCTGGCGATTCCTTGAACATCGCAGATTGGACTGTAGAGTGATAATGTTTTATAAGATATACCATAACCTAGTTGCAGTTAATCTCCCAACATATGTTCAAACCCCAAATAGATTAACCATACATAATATTATGCACCCCTTATCCCTACGCCAAATACAGGTATCCCTCATAGCATTATACTATGGAATAAACTTCCTAGTAACATTGCCACCCTGCCCAACTTGTGTCAGTTCAAACAGGCAGTGGTGGGTTTGCAGTACTAGTCTTACTCCCAGTGTTTTTAAACTATTTTATCTCTTATCATCTTGTTTCACTATTAACAATTTAATCATGACTAGAATACATTTTCAGCATGTTAATACTTGGACTTTTCTTTTTTAGCTTTTCTTTTCACCTTTTACTTACAATCCGACGTGCACTAAATTCCTGCCTATAACACTCGTAAGAGGGGTTGGTAGTATTCAGAGATAAATAGATAGTAATAGCTGCGGTGATGACAAAAATATATATTTCAGGGATAAGAAGTTTGAGTGATATATTAACATTACGCAAATTTATAAAGACAATATCAGGTAACTTTGGACCCATGTCTTGAAATATTTGATCTGTCTCAAAAAAAAAAATGACAATAGATGGATTGGTAAAGTTCTATCGAAGAACAATTAACATAGGCCTAAGAGGTCGAATAGCATTTCGATTTTTTTCTATTGTAAATCTCCATGTTCAATTTCCTGAAATATGGGAGTTTGACCTAATATAATACGCTCCGTTAGGAATACTCTGGAAGGGGACAGATCTATACGATTCCATGTTACTTCTATTTCTATAAATTATGTTTTGTAAATTCGTAAATGAGATATAATGCGACATTTTAGCATGTTAAAGTAATGTCATGCGTTCTATTTGACTTACTTACCCTAAAAATATTGTAACACGGACATAATATGTAATTAAATTCCGCGATGGGAGAATTTATGATAACAGGCGGACATCACCTATTATCACGTTTTATGTACTTGATTTTTATGCCAGGCTCTGATGATTATAACAGGGTCTGAGGCTGCGAAATAGTGAAAAAAGGCGCAAGAATTTCTACTTTTAATCTTTTTGGTTAATCCTGCCAAATTTCAATCCCGTTTTTTGATCTATTAAACTGCTTTGTTTTTTGCAAACAGTTCCTGCACTGTTATGTTGTATGGATGATAACAAGATTCAAACTATTCTACTATTTATTATAACCATTAAATACATGTTGTTACGAAAGATTGCCCGGCATTATCATATATATAACATAGCATTAATGCATATCAAGTAAAGGGAAGTAATATCATTTACTGTACGAATAAACATGTAAAGAGTTATCAAATCTTGATATTATAACATGCACCAGAATGGATCCAGACCAGCCTGCGTATACGCGCAGTCTGATCAGGATTCATGCTGTTCGCTTACAAACCCTATTACAAGTAAAGAAACCGATAGCGAACAGCATGGATCCTGATCAGACTGCGCGGAGGCGCATGCTGGTTTGGATCCATGCTGGTCGCAAACCCACTATATTGGTTTGGTCATGGCACGGCTCAAATATCTTCAAACGACACATCATCCACTGGGGGGATTCACATTTTGTTGAATTTCTTCCCTGACAAAATTTCCGTTTATATTTCAACCAGTAATAAGGACTGATTCATAATGGAATTTGAAAATATATTGTAAAAATCTTAACAAATACTCGTATTTAGTTGAATCAAGTGACCAAATGATAAAGCTTATGATCAGCCATTTAGCTCTCTTAAAATGTCGGCTTACAACTTACTAACATTATGATAAAAAAGCGAACTTAGTCATTATCCATAAAAATCAAATGTAGCAAATTATTTATCTTCGCAATTATCTATATCGCTTTGGGTTTATTCAGAATTTATTTTAGTTCGATTGTGTTGGAAGCTATTAGCTTGTAAACACACTTTTGAATCCGTTCCTGGAACCAACCAGTACAGAGCAATGGGTGTAAAGTTTCTTGCTCAAGGAAACAACGACTTGCCCATGTCAGGGTTTGAACCCATGAGACTAGCGATCATTATATAGATTATATTTCCTATACGCGTTAACCACTCGGCAATGCCGCCACCTTTATCGCTTTGGAATCTTCAAAGACATGTAAAACCCTTCACATTCTGAATATTCAGTGAAACCTCACTAATGAGACCACCGAAGGGATTTCGGATATCTGGTCTAATTAGCGAGTTGGTCTTGTAATGAGTTTGGTCAGACCGAAAAAACTGACAGAACGTTTACAAGATTTTCTACACATTGTACAAGTATTTTTCTGGACTGTTTTATTTTCAAGTTTCTCTCTAACGACAGAATATTATTTTGGTAATGCACACTTTTATTATTTTTCTATTTTGACATTACAAATCTCTTTTTTTAAACAAGGAATGAGATTAACACAACTTCATCAAACAATTTTAAAATGTAAATTTCGACGAGATATGAGCAAAACAATTTGTGCAAATATTGCCATTTTAATATTTATTATTTTTCGCTCTACAGAATATAAAAATGCATTCAGTTCTGAATATAAAACAATTATGCAATAAAAAAAACAACAACATATAGTGACATATCGGCAAAGTTATTCAGTTATCCCGATTGTGTCATTCAGTATTATAAAATGCATGCAAACTAAACACTTGGAAGGAAAAAAGTCTTTCTTCATCAATATACCTCAAATTAAAATCAAAAAATGAGCCGCGTCACGACAAAACCAACGTAATGCGTTTGCGACAAGCATGGACCCAGATCAGCCAGCGCATCCGCGCAGTCTGATCAGGATCCATGCTGTTCGCTTACCAGCCCTTTAACAAATAGAGACACTGATAGCGAAAATCATGGATCCTGATCAGACTGCGCGGATGCGCAGGCTGGTCTGGATCCATGCTGGTCGCAAAACCATTATGTTAGTTTTGTCGTGACGCGGCTCATTTGTCCAGCTTATGTCTCCATGACAGGTTTTGATTCATTACCAACCATAAAAAAACAACTTTGAACGTTGTTTTACACTTAACCTGTTGGAACCGGAAGTAATTATCTTGGCCTCTTCCACCAGTCAAGAACAATGCCAGTCTGCACATCTGTCCAGTTTTACCAGTCTACTGTACAATGCATTTACTAATTTTTTTTACTATGCCGATATTGAAAATACTTCACTTTCGTAAAAGTTTGTTTTAAATTAAAGCAGGACAAATCTTTTGCATAGATTTCGCAGTTATTCTTGTTCGAACACATGATATATACCTTAGACTTTATACATGTATACGTTTTTTCCCCAAATTGTCTATTATTATAGTAACAGCGATTTAGTTTTGATAGGTAATATTGCCAATCGTAAGCGATTAGTTTTATTTAAAAATATCTATTTTATGCCACCTGGGATGAAAGCTTCCTGTAAATACAATGTAGTTGTAACCATTTAACCAATGGCCCAAGACGCGATTTATATAAGTTAAACATAAACCCATTCATATATGGCCATATAAACTGTCAACAGTTTTTATAACGAATTGATGATAATGTACAAATACCTCTTTATTTTGGTTATAAAAAGAGAAAATAATTTACAATTTTGCTGTGCATAGCCGTGTAAATAGAAAATATAAACGTTACGATTATTCAAATCGACGTTACAGACGTGAAATTTCACAAGACTGAAGCGTTCGTTATCACTGTAATAGTATTTAGACCAATGGTCCTACTTAGCTAAAACGTAAAGATACATGCCTCCATATGAGCTCAAAAAATTAAAGAAAATCAACCTTAATTAAAATGTGCTAAGATTATAAGAGAAGTGGAAATATTTATAATTAACTTAACAATTTACATGTTACATGCAATGAATGACTGATTTAGCAGTAATTATCACCCCATTTCTACTGCGTGACTCACGGATTAAGGGCTTTTTTGTATATTTTGACATTTACTTGATAATTTACGTGGACTGAAGCTGACGTTTCAAATGTGTTATTAACTTTCTTTGTTCACTTATAAAGATAGATAATTTATTGACGTAAACTTTCAGTACATATAGTCATTTTACACACAATGAAACACGATATCATGGTACATGAACAAAAGTTGTGGCACAAAATTTTCAATTTACATATTTTTGGAGAATGAACGTTAACATTAACGTTAACAGCATTTAGTACTAAAGTAAGCTTAGCTATGAAAAAGCTTTTACATTCTTAAAGATATTAAAAGTGAATTTTAAAATTAATTATATGCTGTGTTGAGATTGCATTTAGCAGTGATTCATAATTGACACATTATCAAGTAATTTCAAGAATAAACAATATCATTTTCAAATATAACGAGACAAATTTATACATTGATTTACAAAGCATTAAGTAGTTCAATTTGATGCTTTGTAGCATAAAACAAATATTTACCTAAACCTATACTGTATATAATTTTACTTTTTAATACATTTTCCTTTTTTTAATTTTTTTAATAAGCTTGAATCTGGAGGCATGCTGCTTTAAACAACCCGAAAACGTATCTTTTACATCCAAGTAACCTTTCAACGAAACTAAATGATAATTATATACAATCTAATAGTCTATTCTACTATTTATTAAATTAAAATTTAATAAAACTACTCATGTATATGACTACACGATATTCAACCATAAAATAAAAAAACAATTTCCCACCACAATATAATATAAACACAATGCATACAATATCCATGAAGTTTACAGTAGTCTCTATCATGTCATTTGTTCAGATAATCTATATAATATAAATATATGAAAAATGGCTCAGCGTCATTAAAGTGCACCAAAAATCATCCACTTCTTCGGCAAATTTAGGAATGTTTACATGTAAGGCATATGTGAAAAACTATTGTCAGCAGTTCTGTTGCAGATTTTTATAAACAGTATTTGAGCCGTGTCATGACAAAACACACATAATGGGTTTGCGACCAGCATGGATCCAGACTAGCCTGCGCATCCGCGCAGTCTGATCAGGATCCATACTGTTCGCTATCAGTTTCTCTACTTGTAATAGAATTGGTAAGCGAACAGCATGGATCCTGATCAGACTGAGCGGATGCGCAGGCTGGTCTGGATCCATGCTGGTCGCAGATCCATTATGTTGGTTTTGTCGTGACGTGGCTCATTTTATTTTTTGACACGTATCTTCTGCAACTTATCGTCTGCAACAACCACAGCAGCAACAGCAGCAGACGACAATACCGATGATAATCAGCAATCCCACTATGCCACAAACAATCGGGACCCATCTGTAATAAAAGAAAAAAATGCATATTCATTTTTATTTATTGTTATTGTTTTTCACTTTACAAATCAATTTTGTATGACTATAAACTATTTACTCTACTCTAATTCCATATCAACGCGGAAAATATCTTGCGCATGCGCTTTCTGCATATAGATCAAAAGCTAAATAGATGTTACCATGAAAGAATCAATTTAATCAGGACAAAACCAATTTTTAAAAATCGTTTCATTTTTCCTTTCTTTTCGTACACTTCTTTCGCTCTGGTACATGTATCTTCTATAATAATTATTTACATGTAACTAGTTCATTTCTATCACGGTCAAACGGTCAAAATTGTATTTTACACTGAAAACTATGGTGGCTGATTTGGAACGCTTTTGTGCGTCGTGTTGGCTCTAGCATCAACAGGACAAAGCGCCAAATGGCGCGTTGTCGGACTTTCGTCCTGTCGCTAACGATGTACACCAAACGGCGCGTTGTCTCCAAATGTCACATTGTCACTTGGGTCAAATCGAAGGATTGGCTTATAAGCCAAGCCACAATGCGACATCGCGACAACGCTATCGACAACGCAACGCGCAAAGTACAAGATCAGCTTCCATAGAAAACGGCTTCTTTTTAATACAATGTAAATTATAAAAGAAGCGTTTCATATAATGGATGATTTGGTACACTTTGCGCATTGCGTTGTCGATAGCGACAACACAACCTATATCGTTATTGCCTTTTCGTATTGTCGTCTTGTCGCTAGCAACAAACGGCGCGTTGTCGCACTGTCGTTCTGTCGCTAGCGAAGCACTCCAAACAGTGCGTAGTCTTGCGGCGCGTTGTCGCCTTATCACTTGGCTTATGTATATATACAAAAAGGCAATCGTTCGATTTGAGCCCAGCGACAATGTGACATCGCGACAATACGCCGCACGACAATGCGTCGTTTTGCGTGTTTCGTTAGCGACAGGACGACAAGACGACAGTCCATTTGGCACTTTGTTGTGCTGTCGCTAGCGACAACACGACGCACAAAAGTGTTCCAAATCCGCCACCATAGTTTCACGTTCTTCTATTTATATACATTTAAGTCAGTATTTTTGTAACAAACTTTTTTTCGTTTCCTGTTTGGAGCAGACGTGTGAAAGGTTTCTTCAATCTATTTTTCAAAACCCATAGTTTCATGATTGAAGATTTGTATTATAGAAATTGAAAGTTACGAAAGTATAGCAATAGACAGAGCATATTAGTTTAATTTAAAACCTATTTAATTAAGATTGCGAAACAAGTTCTTGCAACTTATATTAATCACTTTCGAGTCCGCTTCATGGAACCAGTCAGTACTGTCATATGAAGTAACATGTTCGTGACCCGAGTATGGTTCGAACTCATGACCCCTGGGTTGAAAGGCAAACACCTTAACCACTAGGCCACCGCTGCCCTTTTTATCTCTTCGAGTCACTGACGGATAGGAAAACTTTAAGTACCAAAATTAATACTTACATATGCTGACTAAGCCAGTCTTTAACGCAATCTTCATTTTGGTTCTTAGTCGCAGGTATCTGCCTGCTGGAATCGTCGCAGCATCCTTTATATGCAATGCCTATTTTTAGGCAACAGTAATCTGGACATAGTTCCGCTTTATGTTTTTCTCCGGAAATGTCCGTGTAACTTCCACAGCAGTCCGCGGCTTCTGAGCCCTGACCTGTCAACATAAACAATCTTTACAGTTGAACTTTGTATGAGGTGGACATATGCGCTATTGATCCGGATATAGATTGTATTTGATACTGCTACAGGCGAACGCAATGGAATATCAACATTATTGAACTCGATAACACACATGCCATAATTATCTGGAAAACTATGTATGTATGTTGTCGAAATGAGCGCCAGGCACAAAAAGCATCATTCTGAACATCTCGGCCGAAGTTTGACGGAAAGAGACGAGAAGATGCAACTACGGACCCCAGTCATGTCAGGGTTAATTTTGAAAGATTGCCACGGAGTATTAGCTAAAGATATGTATTTCTTAATCAAAAGTAAGTCATTGTACGTCGGCCAATGAGAACCTAAATGTATACACAAACAAATATACATGTAATAACCTGAAACAATATAAAGAGGAGGAGGTAGCCATACATCTGCAAAACTAACAATTAAACAATATATACAATTTAAACGCCCAACAATACGCCTACACATTTACAAGATCTACCGCCATTCTTTTGTTTCTTGAGCGTTAATGTATAAATTAATTATGATAAAAACTCAAGGATGAACGATTGCTTCAAAGATAAGTCGTGTGTGTGTTTATCTCGTATCTAATTTACATCAACTAAATCTTAGAGAAGCGTGCCCCCAGATTCAGTCAATGCCATTAAAATGGCTGATATTGCTGTATCAGATTATCTTCTTTTAGTTCATTGAAAAATAAATAGCTTTAAAAAAAACGTTTTAAAAAACGAATATTAGGTTTAAATGTGCGTTTAAGAGATATTTTCGCAATCCGTATATAAAATTGTAGAATTGATGAAAAATGTTATAATTACAAGTCATAACTTTACCCCCAACAATAACACAGCCAGGGATATTCCTGCATTTGCTGCAAGTTTATAAATACCTGGCAGGTAGTTTTTACTAGTCTACTGGTAAACCAAAAAAATCTGATTTCTTTTTGGATCTGATTTTTTTGTAAGAGTAAGCTCTTTCAAAAGTTTCTAAACGTTTTAAATGTCTAGATTTAATGCGAAAGCTGTTTTTTGTGCCCTGTGGGCGGCTAGGTCAACCGCCATTAAAGTGGATTGGTCTACAAGGCACATTTGCCATTAGTATTTCAAATAATGACAAAAACAATAGAAATGTTTCATTTGGATATTCTTACTAGATGCTGCATAAAAAGTGTTGATAAAATTCTAGATCTAAGTGTTTTAGAATGATCATTAATTATCTGATAAAAAATATTATTTTGTTCTAGAACAATTTTTTATCTGTTCTATGAATATATTTGATATTGTAACATCTATTTTCCGCTTGCCAACAACTTTCATGTTTAATTCGCACGTGGTTTGTTGTCATATTTAATACTAAATACTATCAAATTATCAATGTATTTATTCATTGTTTTACAGACCAATTCACTTTAAACACAAACTATTTGGCATTTTGGATTTCGTTATCAAAACAACATCATAACTATATATAGAACAGAAATGATTAGCACAAAACTGGGGGCGTGTTACTTTAACCAAACATATTTAACCTTCAAAAATGCCCTTAAGAATGTAAACTGTAATTAATTACAAGTAACAACAATGACATACAAAACAAGAGTTGTTTTTAAGCCAGGACATTGTCCTTAAAGTAATACATACATGTACACAATCGTGTTTACATACTACGTATCTTGTTTTCTGATACCGTCGGAGAAGAAAATTAAAAAAAAACTTAACCTGTGTAATAACGTATTATTTATAAAATATACAATTATTTTTTACATTTAAAAAGAATCAATGCATAATTATATAAAGAATAATTACCTGATAATACAAACAAAACAACACCGATAATCAACAACAACTTAAGCATTTTCACGGTATTTACACTATCACTATCGTCTACGCTATGCCGTTTGGCTTACTGTGAGTAACAATCATTTGAAGAGGCCCGTGAAGGGTGTTTTGATAAGCATCAATAACGGACACTATATAGCTATTGTTATCAATTCAATTCACTTCGAAAAAGTCATTTTGATCATGTATATTTGATAACGATGCATTAAAACATTTCTTATTCAGTAAATAAAAATCCTCTCCAATTCTAGAGCGTATTATTGTTTATTTTCCTTTCATTTTCTTCTTAAATCGATAAATGACTTTGTTAAGAAACAGCTTCGGAACGCATGAACGCCTCTTATTTTCGGAAAATACTTATTTCAAAATACAGGAAAGAACACATGATTTGAATAATGTATCTTTATCTATAATATGTCCGGTTTCAATAGTGATTCATTTTTAGCATTTTTGTTTTAGTTTTTACTTAAAATGTATTATTTAATTGTTGAATCGATAGATCGGACAACTTTTATCTTGCATTATCCGATAGAAGATGAATCATTCAATCTAATTGTATTGAACACATTTCATTCGAATCCATTAAGGCTTAATATTTAAAAGCCCGCGAGGCATGCACATATACAAAATTTTATGTAAATCCAACCTGAGAACACGTACAATGTTATGTCACAGATGTCTTATATACTGTTGGGGCAGGCTTATAAATCAATCAATAATCGTTACATAATATGCATCATTTTCTCGTGTCAACTGTGGAAAAAACCATTCGCCCAATATCGTTGCAAATTCGATTTTGTACAACTTTGGAGGGTCTACTTTGAACATTATAAGGTCTAAAGCCCTTACCCAAGCAATATGTCCAGGAGATTTCCGCGTGGCTTGGTCATTTGTTTGCACCGCGATTTGTTCTTTCTCTATATAAATTTCGGTAAAACATAATTTTCACGAGCCTATAAACTGAAGTGATATATGTACAAACAATTATAACATAGACCTATAAACATGTATAAGCTTCGATCTTTATGTGGTTTTAGTATTCTTAGGTTTTGGACTTTCTTTAGGGATTCTGTATTTCTCTATTTTATTATTCTTAGATTTCTTGGAGTTCTCTGAATTAGTGTTATTAGACTTTTTTTTGTGAATTGAAGGTCAGTGGGGGTAATAAATCATGTATAACTTATTCTTTTAAATTGTTTTTATTATGTATACATGTTTCTTATTACTCTGTATAAAGTGGTAATGCTTCAATGCTATGTAGATTTGTATACTGTAGGTGATATTTTATGTATTGAAATGATAGCAGCACAGTTGCGTATCCTTCCAAGTGTATGTTGCGCGCGCCATTTTTTTCATTTAGATTCAAAATGATTATATTTGGTAGAAAACTGTTTAGTTATATTATGTTTGGTAGAAAATGTTTACTTGTAATTATATTATATTTAGAAGTAAAATGTATAATCATATTTTATTTATAAGTAAAATGTATAATTATATTATATTTGGTAGTAAAATTTATGATTATATTATATTTGGTAGTAAAATTATGATCATATTATATTTGATAGTAAAATAGATACCTGTAATTATATTATAGTAGTATTCGGTAGTAAAATGTATAATTATATGAGCCGCGTCACGACAAAACCAACATAGTGGGTTTGCGACCAGCATGGATCCAGACCAGCCTGCGCATCCGCACAGTCTGATCAGAATCCATGCTGTTCGCTATCAATTTCTCTACTTGTAAAAGAGTTGGTAAGAAAACAGCATGGATCCTGATCAGACTGCGCTGATGCGCAGGCTGGTCTTGATCCATGCTGGTCGCAAACGCATTATGTATAGGTTAGAGTGCATATTGGGTGTTCTTCGTAAATAAGAAAGCTAAAAAGGAGCGGAGCTTGCGAAGCGACTGTAGCTTTCTTATTTACGAAGAACATCCAATATGCACTCTAACCGGCTTAGTGCTCCGCCCACTTGCGTTTTATAATATAAAACGTCCAGTTTAAATGAAATCTGTTCTATTAAGATTTGTAACCTGAAAATTTGAGAAATCCTCGTCGGTGATTGGCTTAAAAAAATTGGCGAACACTAAGTTGGTTTTGTCGTGACGCGGCTCATATTATATTTAGTAGGAAAATGTATATTTATATTATATTTAGTAGTAAAATGTATAATTTTATAATACTTGGTAGTAAGATGTATAATTATATTATATTTGGTAGTAAAATGTATAATTATGTTATATTTGCGAGTAAAATGTTTAAGTATATTATATGTGGTAGTAAAATGTATAATTATATTATAATTGGTAGTAAAATGTATACATGTAATTATATTATATTTATTTTATTATTATGAGTACAACATGTTATTCGATTTTGTATATTATGTAAAGATGACATATTTTGTGAGATGGTGTTCTATGTATTCTTGAATAAAAGTTCTGTTCCACCGGTGTCTGTTCTGTTCTGTTTGCATGAATAAAAATGCATTTTTATGCCAATCAAGATACATATATTTCTAAAGTATATATAATGCCCCTGGACAATAACCATACACTATTATTTCGTTACGTTTTGTATATGAAAGTTCCATTTTAGCCGCGTCATGACAAAACCAACATAATGGGTTTGCGACCAGCATGGATCCAGACCAGCCTGCGCAGTCTGATCAGGATCCATGCTGTTCGCTATCTGTTTCTCTACTTGATATAGGGTTTGTAAGCGAACAGCATGGATCCTGATCAGACTGCGCGGAAGCGCAGGCTGGTCTGGATCCATGCTGGTTCGCAAACCCACTACGTTGGTTTTGTCGTGACGCGGCTCATTTATTGATTTGCATTTGCTGTTTGTATTGGTGTTCAGGACGCGTAGGAATTCGATAAAATTTCTTTATGGCGATTTCGCTCAGTACGAGTACCTACAGTGCAACCTACATGATGGACCAATCGTCTTGCTCTACAGTGCAGTCTACATATGGACCAATCATCTTGCTCAGAACCAAAACCTATAGTACAACCTTTAAGCTGCTCCAGACGTCTCGCTCAGTACCAGTACATAGAGTTCAACCTACATGACGAACCAATCGTCTTGCTTAGTACCAGAAGCCACAGTTCAATCAACATGTAGACCAATCGTTTTTACTCAGAATTAAGCAGTACATACAGTGCAACTTTTCCGGTGGACCAAGTCTCTTGCTCAGTTCCAGTACCTACAGTGCAACCTTTGCGGTTTACCATATTGTTTTAGTATTTTCTATTATTTGTGGTCATTTTTAGCCTCTCACAAGTCCAAATTTTCTTGGCGATGAGGGGGACTGCCGCCCCACCTTCAAACCCCAAAAACAGAAGGGGGCACATCCCCCTTCTGGCAACCCTTGATGTTTCTTTTGGTTGGGAGCCGCGCCGAAAAAGTGGTCACTTTTTTTTAAACAAAATTTTTGTCAAACAAAAACAAGTGTTGAAGGCCTAAATAAGGCATTTTTTACCATTTGATACAACAACAAAAAGGGGGAGGGGTGAAAAAGGCGTTAAAAGGCGTGTATATCGGGTAATGGGTTAACAGAAAATGATGAAAATACCTGAAATTAGCCAAAATCGAGTTTACATGGCCTAACATATAAATTTGAAGAAAAATTGTTGTTTTGTAGAATTTTTTATTTTTTACATTTAATTTTATTTGTTGAAAAATCCGTACATGATTTTTTTTTATTTGCGCCGCGTCTGGCGTCATGTTCTTGACGTGTGTCACTTTCCTGCGCTTCAATGTTAATCTTCTAATAAGAGAATAATATATGTTTCGTTGTTTTTTTTCTCGTGTGCTTTATCACACATCGAAGTGAAAATATCCACATTTTTCTCACATCTCAGTGTGATAAATAGAGGGTAGGTTTTATACTAAATGTAAAGACCGGGTTTGAAATTAGTCATATAATGCGAGCCTCATTTTATTTTTATAAATTTAGCCATGTATTTTCACAAATGTTTAACCAATTGGTCTCATCATCTTTATATACAAAAAAAAAGAAACTATGAAAAACGTAGTAAAATTTCGTATAATTTTCATCATAAAAGGTTGTTGTTTTTCTGCATATAAGCACATCTATTGTAATAAAAACTTGTGTAAATACCGAATATTTATCCACCAATCAAAATAATTAAATATTTAGTTGGCCTCTAGTCTTGTATCGTTTTCTATATTTCTGTGTGTGTTTTTGTGGAATCACAGTTTACTTTCTATCTGTCCAATTCTGAATTCCAGTTGTGTTGGCTCGTATCGTCTGAAATATAGATAAATAGCGTTTAAAATCAATGTTTCATATCCATTTCGTCACCCTTTTTATGCAGTCAAAGGTACCGTTCTCGCACATGCAAAGGTCATTCTTTGCTGAACACAAGTTCATTCTGATGAATAGAGGAATGCCATATAAATATGCAAAGGAAGTAATTAAACACGGAACATCCACGGAACATTTCTTTGATTCCTGTCCATTGCAGATTTGTTTTCAGCAGAGAATAACCCGCTCATGTGTAAAATGAGTCCCTATTCCCCAATGGGGCAACGATATAGATACGCATTGTGACCTTCGATTTCCGTTTAGGATTTTATGGTTACTTAGTTTAAATGTTCTTGTGCCCTACGATTCGTTTCATATGTAAAAGCTGGCATTTTGTTAGGACATTTTAATATCTGTGGTTGTGACGTAAGCCTTTTAGATATAGCATATGATAATAACATTTAAATAATGTTTCGATGGATTGACAAGTGCTCCTCTTTTTGGAGCAAAATGAAATAGCCTTCCATATTCTGACGACATCGATAGTTGTTTTAGACATGGTATTTTTTTCCCTGGATTTCAATGAGATGATATTAAGTAAGTTTTGAACATAATTAAATGCGTTTTACAAAACGTACCTGGTTTTGAAGCTAGGTTGAAAAAGTTAACAACGATCTTTTGGACATAATATATAATGTCATTTACTGAGTGTACCTCGTTTTGACGCTAGTTTAAATAAGTTGACAAAGACCTCGGGTACAGTAAAATGTGCGTCACTGAACGTAGCTGATATTGACGCTAGTTTCAATTAAATTACAAAGATGTTTTTGATTCAGTAAAATGTTCCTTATTTTACATATCTAGTGTTAATGCTAGTTTCAATTTGTTAACAAAGATCTTTTGAATACAGTAAAATATCCCTCACTGGACTCACCTTGTTATAACACTAGGCAAAAAATGTGCCTCATCGAACACACCTTGTTCAGATGCTAGTTTCAATAAGTTTACAAAGATCTTGAACATAGTGAAACCGTACATAGTTTTACGCTATTTACAATATCTATTTCTTTAAGCGACAGTATCATTTCGTACTATACGCACCTGGTTTTGACAAAAGTTTCCTTAAGTTGACAATGATCTTTTGGACAGGGTAAAATATGACTTACTGAACTGACACTAGTTTCTTTTGGCTGACAAATATCTTTTAGACATAGTTATATTTGACTTACCAGTATCTGGTTTTTGACGTACAGTGTAATAAGTTGACAAAGATCTTTTGATCTCGGTACATTATTGTATGACATGACTTCCTGAACGTACCTAGTTTTTACGCTAGTTTCAATGATTCAACAAAGATCTCTAGGCATAGTTTAAATTGACTCACTGAACGTACCTCGTTTTTAAGGCATAGTTTAATTAGTTAACAAATATCTTTTGGACATGGTGAAGGGTGGCACACTGAACCAGTCTGATCAGCTCCTAATTTACGCTACGCATGCAAGAATAACTTAAAGACATCTGAGCTTGTGTCAGAGATTGGTCACTGAACGTACCTGGTTTTAACGCCAGCTTTTTCCAGCATAAGTTTAGAAGCTTGAGTTTCGATTTTAAAATCGTGCTTATCGTCATAATACACAACTTCCGCTATCCCAGCCTGTATTATAATTTTTGCACATTGGTTACATGGAAACAATGTCACGTATAATTTACAGCCACGGACATCTGAGGAAATTCTGTTTAAGATGGCATTCATCTCCGAGTGACAAACTAAAATATAGAATATGAGCCGCGTCACGACAAAACCAACATAATGGGTTTGCGACCAGCATGGATCCAGACCAGCCTGCGCATCCGCGCAGTCTGATCGGGATCCATGCTGTTCGCTATCAGTTTATTTACTTGTTATAGGGTCTGTAAGCGAACAGCATGGATCCTGATCAGACTGCGCGGATGAGCAGGCTGGTCTGGATGCATGCTAGTCGCAAACGCATTATGTTGGTTTTGTCGTGACGCGGCTCAAATATAAAATATCAGCACTTCATTCCCTGTCTGTAAAATTTATATGTGTACATGTATATTGAAGCTTTTTTGTTGGCATGGACAGCCAAAACTGAAAGAATTGTCGTCTAAGTGCTATTATTTGTCGTTCTGTCATGTGAATGTCACATGTGGCAACACGACACAACAATAGCGTGGCAACACGACACAACGATAGATAAATAGTGACAATACAGCACAGTGCCGATTCATCTCGAAAGGCCTGTTACATATAAACATTTAATTTTTTAGACAATGCAAAGTTGAGAATGTACATGAACGCGTTAAATATAGACGGAAATGAGTGGCTATAGAAATGTAAGTGTTAATTAAGTAGCTCTTCATTGTAACAATTAGCTTAAGGAAGAGAATTAACGCTGAAAATAACTGACTCTCAAATGCTACATTTCGATGACCTTGCCTTAATTGATTGTGACATATTAACGTATTTCGTTGTGAAAATCACGTTTACATCTACGGTAATAGGCTAAAAAATTATGTTTGATTCTCGTCAAAATACTCGGTAACGCTTATCACACTAGTTAGTATAAATAGACCCATCTTTCGGTCTGGACAAAAGTACTCATTTTTTAGGGACAATTTCGCAATATAAACTGATGACTATGACCAGACAACACGGATGTGCCGGCTGATCTTGGTCTGCGTCTATGCGCCGGTCGCTGTGTAAAAAACTGTGCCGCCAGCAAAACAACGGTAAATGTCATGGTTCGAAAACACGTGCTAGCGCGTGTTTTAAAAACATCATCGTGCATGTGCAGTAACGCAGGAATG